TAGTCGACGCCAGGATTTATAGTATTTCATCTGACTTTTTTGTTAATTAAAAGACTTAAGTATATCGGATTTATGCTTTAAATATTAAGCATGTTTAAAGTTGAGTGCTTAATAAAAGTTAGAATTGGGTATATGACGATTTTCTGAAAACTAATTAATTAAAATAGTTGTTTGATACATTATAAACACACTGTCAATATATTACATGAGAATCTGTTCTATTTTCGATGAATATAATTGTTTAAATCTACAGATTCTAAGAAATAAACTTTTATTAGATTATTTTCTAACATGATGATAATAGTACGAAACTTATTTTTATAGTGTCAAATACCCATAATGATAAAAATATTAATTATAAATTCGCGTTTCGGGTATTTTCCCTTATAGCTTAACACTTAGGTATGCACTTTCTTAATGTAGCTAATATTCGGGTGTTTCATCCGTATTTTAAAACGTTCGAATAAGAATATAATAGATTCATTACGTACAGAAATGATAAAAAAATGAAGGAATGAATAATCATTAATCGTCTCCCGTTTAACTAATAATTTCATTTATTTTATTCTGGTAACACTAATGACAGCTGTTTGGTTCGGCTGCGATTTAGCTCCGATTACGTTTCAGTTTAGTAAACGTTCGTTTGATAATTTACGTTAGCGGAATGCAAATTTACAGCAAAAATCGAAACGTAACCGTTACAGAAACGCTATTGATGATCGATCGTTGTAAATTAGTAGAATTGGCCCCCTGGAATGTTTCCACGGACCACAAGTATCACCGGTTTAGAACCATTACTCTATATGTCCACCACCATATTTAGTATATTCCTACATCGTCATACCTAATCGCAAGAAATTTAAATGTAAAAAATTATAATCTTCTTGTCCTAATATCAGGGTTTTCTGATAAATAATAATAAATGATTTATATCGATTGATATATTCATCGATGTATATAAATTGAAATTTATCTCAGCTAGAAAATTAACCAACCCGATGTGACGCTAACAACATTGGTCTGAAGTAAGTAATCTTACTCACTAGAAATAACGGCTTTTCCCCTTTACGTTACTGGAAATCTTCGCTTGTATGTTACTTTTTAATTATTTCATAATAAATAAACAAATATTAAATAATTCAAACTCAGTTTTTCACCTTTAATTTAAAATGATCAAATCTTATAAAGCCACTGGCAGCTCAAAAATCGCACCATTTCAGCAAGCTTTACGAATCTTGCTTGAACCTATTAAAAAAACAAAGTTTTCTATTAGGTACATTGATCTTTTAATATTGAATAAAAAACTAATGAGAACAATGTGATACCTTAATCATTTGCCAAAAGTAATATCGTTAATAATAGGTATGCTAACTAGTTTCAGGTAGCTACATTAATAACATATTGTAATACAATAACATAAAATAGTAACAAGTAACCTTATCAACATTTTTAGCTTTCAATTATGTTCCCGGTAACGCGGCCCATAGAACACGAAAGCCTGCCAACTTCAGCAAAACAATACCAAATAATTACCACATAGAAAAATGGGTACTTGATCAACAGAAATAAATCTTAACACCAAAGCACAAAGACTTCCGTGATCAAATTATATATACTTCGCATTTTGATAATTCTAGCCTAAAAGCTTAACGTTGTAAATAATTCAATGCGTTGACATTTCGTACGTGACTAAACAACCTTTTGGTTGTAAGTAATAATTTGTGTAATAAATAAACTTAACTTTTTACGCCTTCAGCTTGAGACGTAAAATAGCTACTAATAAAATTAAATAAAAAACTTAAGCTTTTCAATTATCATATTTAAAGAAATTCTATCGATATGGCAATTTGGAACATCATGTGCACTATGTTTTTGAATTCGAAACATCATTTAATTATTGACTCCGAAACATCATTAAACCTTTTAATTATTGAATCCTTAGCTTACTCGAACATAAACATGAAGTTAAAAAGCAACTTTGAACTCTTGTGTAACAAAAAACGACTATTATTTAATGAATTTTATTTAATACAATTATTAAATGAATCCGACGATGAAAAAAAATTTTGTAGCCTTTTAAACACTGCCTACTGATTATAAGTTTACATCTTAGGTTCGCTTCATCGTAGGTCCTCCTCCTTCTCCTCTAGGCATTTTTTGTGAAGCGAATAATAAAAAAGAAATGATCTTCAAGAGCAGAGACAAAAAGTTTATATATTTATTAAAAAATAATATTGAAATATTCAAGAGAGTTATTATATATACATTTTTTTAAAGAAGAAACATGGGTTGCACTGTGCAACACTGTGCACTGTTTATAACCCTATGACATCATATGTCTAACACGCTTGACATAGTGGATAAGATATAAACGGACCTTAAAATTCGCGCAATAATAAATATTGACATATATCTGACATACATAAGTACAATCAACGGCATGTCACATTATACAAAACTGTCTTCTTTACATGACTTTAAAAATTAATACATTGATGGTAGAGTTCAACATTAATTGAGGACATTTGACATATTGTGGTACTCTGACGTGCTGCCGTGTGTATGTACATGCTCTATGTTCTCTATATTAATTAAAAACATAATATTAACAATGTACACGTGCGTTGAATGACTTCGTGTGATTTTGACGTTGCAAACTAAACACATGTTGTATTTTTCAATTAATGTAATATTCAAAAGTAGATTTCGGGTAGACTAGGGTTGCTCATTCTCTTTTTATAAACTTAATTCATCTTATTATAATACCATTCTCCGACCATAAGTCAACTCGTCTCAATTTGACGTTTTCCCTTCTGTCATTGTTAATATGCTTGAAGCGGCCAATACTTTAAACCAAGTACTAACTTTAGTCCTGCCAAAATATTAAATCAGTTATATTTCATTAATATCATTTTCACTTTACATGTAGAAATTAATTTATTCACTTGACATACGATGCGAAACGCACAGATAAGCCATTAATAAAATAAGAAGAAGAACTTAAGTCCTTGTTTAATAATAGACAGAATAAGAATATGTTGTTTTAAATTATCATAGTCATCAACATTATTAGAATGATAATTATACTGGTAAAATACGTTATCAGAACTCATTTTATTTTCTACGGCTCAGTATCATTAATCAGAAGTTGAAAAAGTTTTTATAAACTTTTGTAGTATCTACTTACTTATTATTATCTAGATACCACTTGGAGTATCTAACTCAACTTATAACATATTTATTATTTTAAAGTACATACGAGTGTACGACTACCTTATTTCCAAAGTTACAGTCTACACTTCAAAAATATAGTGATTATTATCAACATTTTCATAAACATTTCCAATCTTCTGGCATGACCCTTGTAAGATTATTAATTATATTCAAAAATGCTCAGCCATAAATTATCGAAAGCCATAACTATTATAGTCGCGACTAGCGTATAGTAGAGGGTTAGGTACTTGTGGTATCTATGATTGTCAAGGCAAACGTTACTAACCAGATGCCCGAGTGCGGTAGGTCTCCCATCACAAAAGCTCTTAACTCTCAAAACTATCTGATTTGGCTATTATTGTTAGAGTGTAATCAATAAGAAGATTAAAAATAATTAGAAGTAATACGTGTACGAAAGATGTAATGATTATTTTACCTATATACTCGTATATGTATACATATAGTACCGATACATTCTATATCGTATAGATAAAGTGTAGGTTCTGTAGGATAAAGAATCTAGGTACTATAATTAAAATGTCCTCCAACCGCTTCCCATAGGTGAAATAATTCTTAAAGTCGGTCCACGAGTTTCAGAGCCTATTTAATGCAAACAAATAATCAAATTTTCCTCTAATTACTTCTAGATATGAAATAATTTTACTATTATGAAAGTAAAAATTTCTATTATACAGAAATTCATATTCAAAAGTTAACGAAGTGTAACGTCGTTAATTTCCACACATCAAGATATTATATATTTCGTAACATAATTCCACTAAATTTCGTTGCTAGAAATCATTCCAATAAACAAGGAAACAGCCGCAGTTCGCCGAAGCAGTAGGTAATTATTTTGTTCATATTGCTTCCCGAGAGTAATCCGTTAGAAATCGATCGACTTTTAGTGCCGTGTCAGTGTTCGAAAAAGCATAATTTATTGACAGCATTCAGATCGCGAGGAAACCCGAACGCGTTAGAGAATAAAAAAACGGTAATAAAATAAGAGTAGTTTACGAGCGTAAAATGACGTTCCGCCGCGCCACTTGGCCGTTTACAAGTCCCCATGCGCCCGCGCATGTTTACAGCGCGCGTAAAGGGTTGCCCGTAATTTATTTTCTTTATTATAGTCGTCACTTGATGGCTTTGGTTACCTTGTAATTATCGGGCGCGCGCCGAAAGCTAAACCAATTTGAGTACAACCCATGCCGACCGGCTCAAGTGCGCATTTCATATTGTTTATGTCAACATTAGCTTTTTGTTCGATTCCGGGTCTGAGCCGACTATTTATAGCTTTGCTCAAAGGTCACTCGACTCTATGTCTACAACTTAAGTACAAAATGAAATATTATTTCAGCGTCTATGTTTGTACCGCCTACTGTATTGTGTTTATATGCTTAGTCTACTGATTTTTGTTATTTTTTAGTAAAGTGTAAATTTCTATTATATAGAATCAGACATTATCTTGCTGAAGTTCTCCGCTATACTTAACTGCGAAACTATGATATTAAGCAACTTCTACACCCAGTCAATATGTGCAAGACCTGCTGTGCTATCATTTTAGGTCCAAGAACTCTTGAGTTGTAATAACAACTTCACGTGTAGAGTGATAGTTATTTTTGTTTGTAAGATTTGCTTGTATGTACTGTAGATACTTGCAAATAATGGTTTGGTGTTGAAGTTGCTGAATATCTTTGCTTCACAGTTATAAATTTGCAATAAAAAAGTATAAATTCTTAAATTTATATTATTGGATTTATCATATACCTAAATATATTATGTTTTCCCAGAGGTGGAGGTTGCCCTCGACGGACACATGTAAAGCGTCCCATGAATGCGTTCATGGTATTTGCACAAGCGATGCGCAGGCGCCTGTCTGAACAACGGCCAGCACTACACAACGCTGAGCTCAGCAAATCACTGGGCACCATGTGGAAGTGAGTTGTCATCAAAGTATTCATATCAACCTTAATTTTTCCCACTACAATGGCACAAGCTGTTCCTATCCAAGTAACAAACTTCGGTACTGTAGAAGTTTCAAGCAAGTTTTAACGCATACTTATCAGTTTTATAATGATATTGTAAAATCTTAGATAGGCCCTAGTTTTATTACTGATTTGTTCTATAAACTGAAAGATCAAAATTCATTGTCACGAGTTTAATTCGAGTATGTTCACTCATTCAATAACTTCTTGCATCTTCTGTGTTTGCCTAAGTCAATAACTACAGCAGTTACAAATTTCGTCGACTTCGTTTTTATTTTACCTAATTTTTTCACGATTGTCAATTTATACTACTATTGACCGATATTTAATTAACAACTTTTTTTGTCTCTTTTATTTTTTAAAATGTCTTATTAAACTTATTATACATATACATATACCTACTAGGTACAGCTTTTTTGAAATTTTGAATACAACCAGAATAATATTTTCTCAGATTTCAAAACGGCAAAAGTTATTTATTATTTAATAGACGACGTTAAATATCTGAGCAAATCTCTCCAAATCATGATGATACGATGTAAAACTTACTAGATCTGACCGTGAAAGTAAAGAGTAAGGGGGAGGGGGGGTAGCGCGTGCGGCATCCAGCGGAGCGGCGTGCATCGATTGTTTACTCATTAAAATGCTATCGCTGCTAACCTTACCGATATTATCTCTAACTGTCTTAGAAACCAATTTTGAGAGTGATCGAATAGAAAATTGTGAACCGCAAACGCGATTTGCCAAATTGATGACAATCAGTTTGACTTTTTAGAACTTTTTAAACTTATAATTATTTTAAAATCTTGATGTGAAATTTAATTTGCAATTATGAGGAAATAATAATTTGGCACATTGGCATTAGTCGTGATAATTTAGGAAAGGAAAGTATTTGGATATATTGTTTTAAATATGATTATAAGCATAATATTATTATATTATATTTAATTAATTTTGCATTCACGATATTAGTGAAAAATGCTTTAAAAATCCACTTTGTCCCTGGTCCCATCCCATCTCAGAGTACCGTTTTTCATTAAGCACATCTTTTTTTGAAAGACTAAACGCTAAAACGAAATAGAATGAATGCGGCTGAATAACTAAATGAATTTAAACATAAGTGATGTTGATGACACCCTTTTATAATAATCTTTTGTACCTTTCTATTTGATAACTTAATTCTGATAGTTGATCCATATTTTTGCCTTTACGATTTTGAAGTCCGCGTGTTGGTCTCCTCAACCAATGTAATTGAGCCATAACAAAACTAGTGGATATTTAAATTACTTGCTTCTTTCGCTGCAAATGTGCGTATATCTATCAATGTTAGGTAAATTTCCCAAACAACACTAAGAAAATTTTTTAAAATAGGTGTATGTACATTTTGAAGACTTTCAAAATATGAAAATTCACAATAATAACATTATTTATAAGTTCATAAATAAACTACTAACCCGATTTCAAAAATAACAGTGACAGTCAGACAGTTCATGACAGAGTAGGAAGTTTGTATAGACAAAAATAAAAACGAATTAAAAAAAAAACAGATAATAAATTTTATTAATTATATTTAAAAAAAAATAAACTATTCAATTAAGTTTATTTCAAAATCGAATACAAAATTCTAGAAACACTTGAAAAGAAATAAAATAGAGATTAATTTTAGGCCACCCGCACTCTCTGAATATTGTTATGACACAAGAATGACACAGCTATGCGGCGCAAACTCTTGAATCATCTAAGAAAACAGCCGTTGAACTGGCCCTGATTGCTGGCCAGCGGTTCTCCAACTGTCATCGCAATCTCGATCATGTAGATTAGCAAGTTTAACCTCGTTAGATGTTCTGCTGATAACTCTTCAATTAAACATTTATAGTGGAAAATAATAGAGCTACACTACTTTATGAATATTATTAATTGAAAAACTATGGACGCACTTCCTTTTCCTTTATTTCTAAATAAATAGAAGTTTTACATATCGTACACACAATTAATTATTAATTTGCTCTTATATTATGAAAATCAGATTCAACGACGATATTACATTTTTTTTTCTCTTTTTATGAAACGGAAATTTACATCATATTGTCAAATAGTGTTAGGAAAGTTCTAATAATAAGTTTATTCCATTTCCAAATGTCTGTAATGTTTTAATGTTATTTATGTTATATTAAATTGAAATATTTAGTTTTTTGTTAATTTACATAGGTAACTTAGATGTAACAGTTACAGACAGACAGATATAAAAAAAAAACAAAACTAATTATAACATAGTGACTGTAGACGCCAGACGCGTTCGTTACGGTCACCGCTCATCATGTTGAATTTATCAGATTCCACATTATGGAGACAAGTCAAATATATATTTATAAACCTACCTAAAATTAGGAATATATTGCTAAAGATTATATCATGAAATAGGAAACAATAACCTGAAGAATAATCAATATTATACGTTGCCTGGCGACAATCAAACTTGGAATTACAAAAACTTTGACATAGGTAATTATTATATTACACTACATTCAGCCGTAGAAGTCGTCTTAGCTTCTGGTCAATATACCTTATATTGAAGGCAATAACTCAATAAATATTTCAATCGTTTATTATTGTCATTATTGTTTTCTTATCTGCTGATTGACGAATTACAGATCATAATCTTGTAATGATTACAATATTGAAAAGAACATTCTTTTAATTTAACTCTCTGATAACAAGCGTAATGAAAAAGAAGCCAAAAAGATATGAAGTTCACATGTGATGACACATAGGAAATAGTCTGGAGTCTGGACGATTTTATCTATGATTTACTGGCGTTTTGCCTAGACGGCTCATCTAAAAAGCCTATGGTTTCGGTGCAATGTCTGTTTATATAATTTTTTCTCAGATGAAATAAAAAATATGAATAAACCCGTTTTTATGCGCATAAATTAAGCATTAATTCAATTACGACGACAAAGTGCTAAGCGAATAGAATATTATCAGTGAGAAACAATTACGTTTATTATAACATAAATAAAATTTCTTTGGAAAATATAAGATGGATATAAAATTTATTGTCTAAAATATATTTAACTCGCTATCATAAAAATAAAAGTATTAAGTTAACTGTTGTATGCATTTAATAATTATGACGAATTGATTTGTAACAATACGATGAATTTTATAGTGGTTTTAAAAAATATTTAAATACCTCACTCGGGTCTAGAAAATATGCAATTGATCAATTTAGTTTTAGCTACATTTGCATTGTTATTATATTCAAATATATATTTAGGCGATAAGCAAGAATACTTCCTTGTATATCCTTATGATTATTCAGGTAGACAAATAGGAAAATGAAAATACTCAGACTGAAAACTCTTATTATGATTATTGTGACAAGTAACCGAACTTGACAAGATATCAAACAACTACAGCTATCATTAAAGCTATCAAGCTATATATATTAAAGCTATAATTTTTATTACAAATTAAATTTTTTAGTAGTTTTAACTATAACAAATCATATTTTCATCTACAGGGGCTTAAGTGAAGAACAAAAGCTTCCATTCATCAAGGAAGCTGACAAACTAAGAACACAACACAAGCGCGAGTACCCGGACTATAAGTACCAGCCGAGGCGTCGGAAGCCACCCCCTACCACGAGTACAAGACTGAAAAGGGAACCGTCCCCGAATAGAGACCAGATCGACTTTTCCGGTATGCCGGAATTATCGCCGGCACTGTTACCGGACGGCCCGCCTGAAAGCGGGGAATTGGACCAATACTTGAAGTCATCGCCGATCGCAGATTACCATGAACTTCAACCGCGGTACACGCATAGTCTGGCACATCACCCACCGCCTCCCTTATACGCTCCTGTTCCATCTCATCTCCATCCATCTTGTACCGACTGGCAACACTACCCTGGACATCCTTAAATGTCCAAATCTATTCTAAATTATTTAAGGACTGTAAATATATTTAATTAGATATGAAACGATGAAATTCGATCTGTTCTCCTGTAGGTATACTTTAGGATTATTCTGGTATAAAAACAATTTAAAACTAGACGTCAATCTCAGCACTGTAATAGCATAGAGATTCAATCAAATAAAATCTACTCCAAAAGATACCTTATAAAAGTTTTATTTCATTGAAGCTCTATGCTGTCACAGCGCTACGTTCGATGTCGAGTTTGATACTTTTTTTTAACAAATTAGCATAGTCGTTATTCGTTATTGCGTATTCGTTATTCGTTAGCGTATAATCCGACGATATTTGCTTGATTTTCTTACAATTGTTTACTAAGAGAATTATTTAAAAAATCAAAATTAGAATCGTTTCCGTATTCGGTATTCGAATACTACAATTCATCGTATTTCGTTTTGCAGAGTAGACACGCTTCCTATATCCATCGAATAATGTTGAAAGTTTAATTTATGAATATATGTATTTGTTGTTAGTTTTTGCAATAGTTAAAAATAGGTCATATCGATATACTTTGTACATAGTATATCGCCATACGGCTGCCGCAAGCCGCACGTGTCTCTAATCACGAACAAACATTTGCAGAGCAAATAATACCTACTTATTATTAATCAGTTGGATTATATTTAGATCACTTAAAAATGTCTGCAGACATTAAATCTTAATATGTGGGATCAAAAACACACTAAAATTAAAGAAATTTATTTTCGCGACAATAGAGTTAACCGACAATATGTATAGTTTAAAAAGCAATGGCCTTTTTTTCTCCTGAGCTACTTACAGCGTTGCATTCAAGATGGCATCTACTACATAATGTTAAATTATTCTGTAACAAATCAAATTAATAGACTTAAAATTTGTCGATATTAAACTGATGAGTTAAAGTTCTTTGTCATTTATAAATACTTTAATTATTCAAAAAGAAGAGATATATTTTTTGTTTTTTTTTTAATAAAAAAAGACTCAGTTTCACTCAAAAAGTTCAGTTTACTTCCTTGCAGATTCTCTTTCATCTACAAACTATTTCAAATGACTATGATCGATATTTTATAAAATATCAAGGTTTTATATAAGTGACCCAGAATTTTTGCCCGTTAGTTTATTTGATATTTTTATACCCTTATGATATTTTTCGTATGTAATAATTATAGATCTATTTATTTTCGATTAAGAATATGTTGTGTGATTCTTTATTACATGATATGATTCCGATTCAGTTGTTAGTATAAATGTTAAGAATATTACTATTAATAAAAATAATATATATTCTAAATAGCTCTCATCTTATTCTCAATCTCATCTCAGCTCAAGATAATATATCTAGATAACTCTTGATAGCTCAAGAGAATACGAAGAAAAAACATACCTTCTATTTTCATTTTATTATTTTTCCAAATGACGGGAAATCGTCGATATATTATACTATATTCTGTTATTTAAATATAAAATTCCTCAAGTTCCAAAGTTAGTTAAGAAATCATAGTAGATTATAGATAACTACTTTGAAAAAAGTGGATCTTGATTTAGATAGACACAAGAGAAACCTAATTCTCAGAAAAAATGTGATTGATGCTATATTTAGAGCAAGTTTATTGTTATTTAAGTATTTAATTTTTGTTTTAGTTCAGTTTCATTTAGTTTTTATATTGTTTTAAGTTGCTATGTAAATAGTTATATAATATTTGCGATTTAGCTGCTCTTAAAATGGTTTATACTTCTTTGTTAACTAAACTTCTTGCTATATAAAATAAAGATTATGTAAATACTCCTTTGTTTTTATTAAAAAGTCCTCAAATATTTGAATATGTACCTGTCTGTCTGTAGATACACTAACTACATTAGGCCAAGGTTTGCAGTTACAACTATTTTACCGTAGAGCCTTTGAATTAAAATTATATCAAACCATTAATATAAAATGTTACGAAGTATAATTTTTCAAGTCGATCCGTAATCTGCATATTTTTAAGTAAGGTCATTCTTGTTTTCAGGTAAATTTAGAATTAAAGACAAAGAGTAGTATAATAGAACTGTTTTATTTGCTTTTACGAAAGATATATATTCCACATCATTTCAGAAGCATCTTTGTCTAGCATTGAGGAACATTTTATCATACAAAAATAGATAGTAAAAATACACCCACACTAACTAGGTAATTCCTATTAGACGTATGTTTAAGGATAGGAAGATAATTTTTGATCAAAAGCCTAAGATTTAATAAACCTAGCTTCTAGACCACAATTCTAAACTTGTTTAGGATAATAAAAAAACAATGTTTAAAATTATAATAAAAAAGTAAAAATACGCCTGTGTGAAAACAACTAACAGAAAAATTTTGTAATAAGTAGAAAAATATTTCATTTTTATTAGTAAATGTGGGTGGGTGGTCAAAAATGTTTTTTAATCTTGTTCCAGCCGGGTATTTTTAATCATTATTTTTGATTTAAAAATATCATTTAATCGTTCAGCTGCTATATTTGATTTTTCTTGACGTCACCTTATCTAAGTACGCTTGGGCTTATAAGACGAATATAACAATACTTCAATTTTGTGAATCCGTTCAGGGGTTCTGAAGATATAGTGTAATAAAGAATATTACATACAAACAAGATAATTGCGAAAAACATAATTAACTTCCTCTGCAAGTAGTTTTTTATTGAATATCGCTGTTACTTTTTTAAGTAGAGTTAAAATAATAATCTCTGAAATTTTATGATTTGCTGAAATAAAGAATTATCGCCTTAAATAAGATCACTAAACCAATCAAATCTAAGTCGAAGTTTATTCAGCTCAGAAACAAGTGAAAAACTTGTGCAAGAAATGTCAACGTATTATGAGCTTGATCGGAAAACTAAACTTGTTTAAAAAGAATTTGTAATTTGATCATCCTCCGAATTTTGATAAAAAAGCGACATATACAATAACAAATAAACCTTATTAAAAATAAGAAAAGTACTTAATATTCACGACTTTTTTTTTTAGACAATCTACGATTTTTCTCTCTCCGGGCGACTGCTCTAACTAGGTACAACTTTACTTTTCACTACTATTTAAAATACGTTCACTAGTGAAAAGTAAAAAGTGTTGAAAAATTCATCAGTTCTGTGAGGTCTCGGGTAGCTCAGTGGATAGAACAGTCACCAGAAAGGCGTGGGTTCATGGGTTCGAGTTTTGGGGTACCCGGGACTGGTGGAGTTTTTAAGCGTTTCTCATTAGAATTTTTTACAGTATAGTAATATGAATGGAAAATTGATAATCGATACTTATCGTATCAATTATTATTAAAATTGATAATCGATACGTATTTTATCGATTATTATCAATAAATTATTATATTAAAAGATAATATTTTCATTTCAAATAAAAAGAAAGCCGTGATCATGAGCCAAATAAAACGACACATACAAAGCTTTAGAACAAAGTGGCAAATTACTTAAGAAATAAGTTGTGTAATTCTGAGTGAAAATTGTAATGAATCTTACTTTCTTGAAATTTCTTAATGTGTGAAGTTGGCGACACACACCGTGTTGTATATGTTATGAAGCAGGCGATTAATGCGGGCATTATTAATAATGTGCGAGCATTATGAATAATGCCCAGTTCTATCGGGCTAAGTGATTAACTTCCTCTAAACTTCATTAATTATCACATTTTATTATATTGCTACATGGCAATTGGGCAATTTGTTAATTTGGCAATAAAGCATAATTTGACGCGGTGTGGAGGGAAGAACTAGAACCAGGTTACGCCTAGTTTAGTATAAGATACTGATTATGCCAAATAATGAATTTGATCGTTTAAACTTTAGTTTTTTTTCTTGTTTTATAATAATATGTCAAAACATATTAAACATTCAAAAGATATGATTTGTGTTACCTTTATTTTTAATTTTACTTTCCTTAAGTTTTAAATGCAAAATCCAGTGGATTCTTAATGTAGATCTAGAATTAAAGTCCTTGCTAATTAATCCAAATAATAAGACTGATTATCTAAATTGTTTATCAACTAACGTTTTGTAGAATTTTACTTCTCCGAATTTGCCAAGTTATCATGAAATTTTGTTTTATTTCCCAACCTCAACATTACTAACAGTACGTTTGGTGTGCTTTTTAAAATGCCAATTTTCAAGTAGTAAAATGTTGCAGTCAGTGTATATTTCACAAAGATATTTATTATTTACCAAATGTTAAGTCAATTCTGGTTAGCGCACACTCAACCTAACACGCTCCTCCTCTCTTCATTCGTTGTCACATCTAATTTCACCATTAATGTGACCTAAACTAATCTAACTGTGGCTTTTACAAAAACGATTTGCTTCTGGCACTTCGCCGACTGCTGCGCGCGTTGTTTATCACACACTTACCTAACCTATATGTTTCTGTTGCTATACTTATTACAAAATTCTTGAAAGCAAATACTCAGAGTTAAAAATGTCAAATTATCAATGTATGAATGTATCATATTGATAAAACGTTATTAGTCTAAAAGTTGTGTGGCCTAGTGAAAGATTTGACAAATGATAAAAATAATTAGCTTAACGATAATTCTACTGAAGGAAATGTAGTCAAGTCATACAAAATTTATTAATCGTTATTTGTCAAAGTGAAACATAGGCCAAACTTTGGTTGGTAAGTGAATAATCGGCCTAACCATTTTCGGTGAAAAGGCAGGATCCCTTGTTTAACATTTAGTTTATTTTAAGTGATCTCATTTATGTCCATGGTCTAGATCAGGGGTGGGCAAATATTTTGATAGTCGGGCCACATTGCAGATGAAAATTTGACCTCGGACCAAACAGTTTTTTTTTTACATATAGTAAGCAAGTCGATCAAACGTTACTTGGAATTGCAACAATAAATTACAACGGACATAAAGCCGCTGTTTTTTTAAACTTTTGAGAAAATTAGATAGTTTAAACTCTTCGAAATGAAAAATATGTTAAGCAAATACATCA